CATACAAACACACACACACACAGCCCAACATTGTGCCAGGGGCTATGAAGTTTGCAAGATAAGTCTAAGACATAGTCTCTGCCTCCAAGACAATTACAACTTAGTTGGGAAAACAAAGTTGAAATAAGCAAAATAATTAAATAATATGTTCACATGTTAAGGATAATAGCAGGATGGTATAGTGGAAAAAACATCGTTCTGGAGGCGTCCAAAGATTTGTGTTCTAGATTAAATTAACTGTGTGACCTTGACCAAGTTCCTAACCTCTGTGGGACTCATGAAATATCCACAAGGAACATTGCCTGGCCTTTATCTGAAGGACCATTTGCTGCAAATAAAAAAGTCCCTTATATTCCCGGTTAGGTTGTAAACCTCTTAAAAGCAGGAAGTAGCTCTTCTATTTCTTCTGTGTCCCTACCCCCTTCCCTTGTGAGCCTTCATAGTGCTGAACACACAGCAGGTATTTAGTCAATAATAATTGAATGATTAAAAGCCCAACTGGAGGAAATCTAGAAAATGTAACTGAAGATGAGCCCACACTAGTGAAAATGGCCATCACATCCCTTTTGGTAGTGCAGTATAATTCTTACAGTATTGCATTAAAACTCAAAAAATAAAAGGCTTGCTAAGCTTTCTTTGTGAACAGAAAGAAAAGTAAAGAATGTTAGGTCATTAGTCACATTTCCACCTCTTGCAACATCATCAATCTTTCCCTATTTATTAGCTGCCTACAACCTGTTCCAATGCCCCTTATTCTTAAAAAAAATCCTTCATTTACTCTTGCCATTCATCTCAGCTGTTGTCCATTATTTCTTCTTCCATTCATTATAAAACTCCTAGAAAGAGAAACTTCTATAAAAATATACTTGTATAAAGTATAAACTTGCTGCCTCCCCTTCCCCCAGTACACTCACTTCTCAACCCCTTGAAATCCATTCTCTGATCCCACCAGTCTACTGATGCTGCTCTTTCCCATTCCAATCAACCTAACTGATAATCCAATGGCCTTTTCTTAATCATCATGCAACTTAATCTTTCTCTAGCTTTGAACACTGTTAATCCCTCTCTCTTCCTGAGTACTCTTTCCTTCTCTGGTTTCTGTAATACTTCTCCCTCCAAATTCTCCCTTAAGTGGTTGATGACTCTTTCTTAGTCTACTTTGATGGTTCACCATCCATTTTTTGGTCCCCAAGTATAGCTGTCTTCCAAAATTCTGTCCTGGGTCTTCTACTCATGGGTTTGGTAATCACTTCAATGCAGATGACTCTCAGATTTATATATCCAATCCTATTCTCTACCTTAAACTATGGTCCCACATTTCCATCTGCCTACTAGACTTCTCCACATGGAAAAATATCTGAAACTCAGAATGTATAGAATAAAACTCATCATCTTCTCCCACAAATACACACCTCTTCCAAACCTCTCAGTTTCTATTGAGAGCATCATTGTCCCCAAGGTCACCCTTGTTGATAATCCTGAAATTATCCTAGATTTTTTTTTCATCTCCTTCATACTTCATAGCTAAGCAGTACTCAAGTCCTGCTGAATCTGTTTCCACATTCATCCCCTCAACTACATTCACATGATCAGCCCTCTATTTCAGAACATCATTTCTTCCTTTGTTTATTGTAATAGCTTCCCAGTTGGTTTCCTTGACTCCAGTCTCTTCCTTCTAATCCATCTTGCACACAGATGCGAAATTATGCTATGTAAAACACAGGGTATTTTTGTTTATTTATGTGTTTGTTACTATACTACTCTATGCTCAGAAATCTCCAATGACTACCTATTTTTTAAAAAATAAAATGCATGCCTCTGAGTCTGGAATTTAAAGCCTCCCATAATCACCTCCCTCTTACCTTTCTACTTTTATTTCATATAATTCCCTATTATATACTCTGTATTCCAGCCAGACTGAACTGCTAGGTCTTTTACAAAGTCCACATTCCATCTGCCTACATGCACTTGCATTCCCATCCCCTTTCCCCCTGGAGAGACCTCTTTCATCTTCTTTTCCTCCCAGAATCCTTGCCTTCTTTCAAGCTTTAGCTCAGGTGACCATTCATCCATGAAGTCTTCTCTTATCTCCACAATGCACGGCGCTCCATTCTTCCTCACATTGTCTTAAATTTTTTAATCTGCATATATATTGTATGCCCTCATAGAACAGAAACACCTTCAGGTCACACATTATTTTATTCTTGTCTGGGGCCCAGAACCCAACACAGTGCCTTGCCAAAAGGAGGTGGTTTACATCTGTCTTCCATTGTTACATGATTTATACTGTTATTTTCTGTCTTCCCAAGTGGATCATGAGCTCCTTGGGATCGAGAATCATTGATTATACTTATTTGTATCCTCTACATACCTTGACAAAAATACAATGAGTCAATGAGCGGATTTGTGACCTTGTAAAGTATGAGTGCTCAGTCAGACTTTAAGTAAATGGTTGTCATCTCAGTTTCCAATGCTAATATGACACTGGCTAGAATCCTTTAAGGTGGATGGGTATTTCTGGCACTGCCGTCTGACTTTGGGCTGCTGTGTTATATAATGGGGCAGCTATGTGGCACAATGGAAAGAGGGCTGGGCCTGGAGTCAGGAAGACCTGAGTTCAAATCCAGCCTCAGACACTTACAAGCTGTGTGCTTGTAAGCAAGTCATTTAACCCTGTTTTCCTCAGTTTCTTTGTCTGTAAAATAAGAAGGAAATGGTGAACCACTCCAGTATCATGGCCAAGAAAACCCCAAATGGGGTTACTGACTCCACTACAAATGACCAGACAACAAAGTGATATAATGAAGGAGATCTTTGCTGCCCAGATCGTGTAGAAAAAGTATCGGGATTATCAAAATGCTTATGTCATAATGATCAAATATGTAATATTGACAACAAAAAGTCTGACACTATTGCTACTGGGCCCTAGTATAACTGAAGAAGCCTAGATACCCTAAGACTTTCACTGATATCTCAGCTTAAACTTGATCAGAATTACTCTCCTAAGTGCTCATAGAATTCCCTGCTCTCCTTCCTTGCAGCTGTGGGATGTTATTGACTGGGACTGAGTTGAGTCCTTAATAATGGCCTGTCCACTTATAGGCAAATTCAATATAACAAGCATTTACTAAGTGCCTAGCATATATACAAGACACTGTGTTACACTCAAGGGATACAAAACTCATCCACGCCGAAAAACAAAAAACAAACAAACAAACAAACAAAAAACCCCTTCCCGGGACATCAAGGAGCTACATATGTGGAGCCATTCAGTATGTAGACAGGTAAGTAGATATATGATAATCTGAAGAATATAATCAACTGAAGGGGTGAGGACAGTCTTCTCACAGGAGCTAAGCTTTAAAAGAAACTAGAAGGTCTACCAGGTGAAGGTGAGGTTCACTTATAGCCAGGAGCCACACAGAGCCAGGAGATGGAATGTCAAGTTAGGGGAACAGCCAGTTGGCCACTTTGATGGTAATGAAGACTATGGGAAGGGGAATGATGTGATATGGGGCTGAAAGGCTGGAATCAGTGTGAAGGACTGAGGAATGCGTATTTTAATCCTGGAGGAGATAGAGAGACACTGATTCCAACAACAGTGTCAGACATATACTTTAGGTAGGTTATTTTGCCTGTTATTGTGTTTCAGAAGATAAATTGGAAGCCAAGAATCTAGACAGGATCTCGTTCTCAGGCTCAGCTTATTCTGAACTCACTCTCTAGCATAGCAAGATGCATATTGGACTGTGCCAGCCTGATGTCATGATAGTGTGGGCAAGAGGTGAGAAGAGTATGAAATAAGGTGGTAGCTGTGTGAATGGAGAGAAGGAAAAGGAGAAGAGGGTTGGTTTAGGGGTCCAAGAACCTGGCTGTTCAAGTTCTGATGCTTCCACTTACTACCAGTGCAAACCTAGGCAAGGCACTTGGCATAGTAAAGAGTGGAAATAGGAAGATCTGAGTTCAAATTCTGCCTTAAATACAAGCTATATGACCCTGGGCAAAACACTTAATCTCTCTTGGCTTTAGTTTCCTCAGCCATATAATAGGGATAATCATAACACAAACCCCACAGGACTATTGTGAGGATCACAAGGGATAATATTCATATAATACTTTGTAAGTCTTAAAGCAATATATAGATAGCTGTCATTAACCTCGGTGGCCCAAGTTTCCTGAACTATAAAATCATAGGATTGAACTAAATGTCTTCTCAGCGTCTTTCTGTTTACAGATGTATAAAGCTATGTGCATAAGGTAGATGTGGAGTTAGAACTGACACAGCATTAACAGCATATTGAACACTCACAAGAATAGATTGATTTTTCCCATCTACCCTACTAATGCTAGCCATCTAGCTCATTATAACATTGATTTTCTCTCTGCCTTCCTCTCCACCTCTTCTACCTCCACCTTTACAATGGTTTAAAAAAACGTTATTAAGAGGAGTGGGGATGGAAGAGACAGAATATAATAGGTTTTGCTTATGTTTATAATGGCAAAAAAAAGTCTATGGGTCACTGCAATTAATTTCTTTACCTTAAATGTATATTACAATTGATACCTGGAATATTTGTTTATTTTTCTTTTATTTATCTGTATATATTTCAAATGAGAGGCATCATGGTGTAATGGGGCACTGGACGTGGAATTGGAAAGACCTGGATTCTAGCCCTGGCCTTAGATGCTTTCTAACTGTGTTACTCTGGGCAAACCACTTAACCTCTATTCTTCAGTTTCCATATCTGTAATATGATGGGGTTGTGCTTCTAAGGTTCCTTATAGCTCTAAGTCTATAATCCCATGATCTTTTTCTGTTATTTTTATCTAGTAGAGATGGCCTATACTCATTAGATACACATCAATACAATGCAAGTACATGCTAGTACCTTGCTCTACTCATTAAATGGATGAAGACAAGGATTTAACCTTTGACTCTCCTACCATCATACTTTCCACTAATAATACATGGTTTAAATATCTTTCTGAGAATGAGGTACCTGTGCAGATCCTTTTAAAGTTGGGGTTTTCCAGAAGGTGTCCTGGAAGCCTACATTGGAATCGATGTTGCCAGAATTCAGGGAACCATGGATTTCGAGTGTTGGTGTCCAACCTTAGTTTCAAGAAGTAGTCATCGAAAGACCTGACCTCTGGTGACTGGAGCTTTATGGTGATGCCTCCATTGGCTTCGACCTCATAACCTTCAATGACTTCATCTCTGTCTGCCCAGCCATCACTGAAAAGGAAAGACGAAAAGTAAATAAATAATCATGCCTCCATACATGGTAGAGCATTAGGTATGAAAGGAAACACTCAGCAATTAGACCCAATGAATGCAAGCTGATACACAAAGAGCCGATCCATTTGTACCATCAGTAGACATGAAAGTAATGATCTGTCCTTTGTCTGTGTAGCTGGAGTTGTTGATCTACCCCTTCACTTAGGCACCTGCTGTGTTTTGTTTTGTTTTGTTTTGTTTTGTTTTTCCTATAGTGTGGATGAGTTTGCACTGAGCCATTCACACACTTTCTTGCCTAGTTCCCTTTGTGATGAACAGTCAGCACAAAGACAGAATGAAAGTGAATATAGTAATTACCAGAGTTGGAAATGGTGCTTGGCAGAGACAAAACTGGAAACTCCTAAACTGAAGAAAGGAATATAGCCAAATTTTTTTTTCAAAATAAAGCAAACATTGAGTGCTTACTATATATGAGGTGTACTATGCTATGTGTTGCAGTTAAAAACAAAATAGTTCCTGATCTCAAGAAGCTTACATTCTACTTGGGGACATAATATGTTGATAGCTAAGCAAATATATAATACATACAAATAAATGAGATAATTTCAAAAGAAAAAAAACTGAGGATATCAGGAAAGGTCTTGAGTAACAAGTGACCCATAAGCTATGCTTTAAAAGCAGTTAAGAATTCTCAGAGGCAGAAGTGAAGAGGGAATGATTTTCAGTCATGGGGGGACCATCTGTTCAAAGACATAGAGGCAGGAGATGGGAAGCCATAAATTAGTTTTACTAGAACTGAGAATGCATGAAGGAGTCAGCTAAATAAGATTGTAAAGGTACATGGGAGCCAAATTTCAGGGGGTACCACTGAAGGTTTTTTTAAGTATTGAGGTGACATGGCCAGATCTGTGTTTAAGAATAAGAAATTTGGCAGCTATGTGGGAGATGAATTGGAAAGGGAAGAGAGAATAGGGGCAGGAAGACCAATTAGAAGGTCACTGAATCATGAAGGCAAGAGATAATGAGGGTTGAGGCTCCATAAATTCAGAGAAAGGGACAGATGTAAGAGAGGTAGAACCAGTGTATGCCATTAATTTAATGGTTGGGGAAAATCAGGGGTTGGGGTAGGGGTCAAGGTGGGAGAAAATGAAAAAAACAAATGCATTTCTTTCATCCTATGGGAGACCTCTCTGCAGCATTTGGCACTGCTGACTACCCCATTTCTCCTGGCCACTCTCTCCTATCTGAGCTTTCTTGACATGGCTCACTCTCTCTCAGTTCTCCTCCTACTTCTCTGACCACTCCCTCTCAGCCTTCTTTGCTGACTCATCATCCATGTCATGCCCATGAGTTGTCCCTCAAGGTTCAATCATGGGCCCTCTTCTTTCTTTATACCCCCTCACTTAATGATTTTATCAGCTCCCATGGATTTAATTATCTTCTCTACATAGGTAAAGGGGTGGAAGAAGAGGAATAACCATGTGTAGGGCACCAGTATGTGCCAGGCACATAGCTCTTTACAAAAATTATCTCCTTTGGTACTGAGAGGTAGATACTATTATTATTCCCATTTTGCAGTTGAGAAAACTAAAACAAATAGAGGTTAAATGATTTGCCCAGGGTCACATAGCTAGTAAGCATCTAAGGCTAGATTTGCACTCAGGTCTTCTTGACTTCAGGCCTAGTTCTCTATCCACTCTGCCATCTAGTTACCCAGGTGACTTCTCCATCTATATAGCCTATTCCAATCTCTCTGAATTCCAGTCTGGTGTTACCAACTGACTATTGGGCATGTCAAACAAAATGTCCTGTAGTTATCTCAAATTCATAATGTACCAAAGAAAACTCAATATATTTTCCCCAAAATCTACCTTTCTACTCAACTTCCTTATTGTTATCAAAGCCACCTACCATCATCTTTTCCAGGCACCTAATTTTACCATCTCAGAGTCATTCTTGACTCCTCACTCTTCCTTATTTCATATACCCAATTAGCTGCTACCTTGCTTCTCCATAACATACCATGTATCTGTCCCCTTCCCATCATTCACATGACCACCACCTTTGTGGAGGCCCTTATCATTTCTTGCTAGGACTATTACAATAACCTCCTAATTGGTCCCCCTGTTCCAAGTCTTTCTCCTTTCTGATATATCTTCCACATGCCTTCCAAAGTGATATTAACTAGGCCATAAGTCTGATTATTTGATCAATAGACTTGATCAATAGACTCCAGTGACACCCAATTAAATATTAACTCTGTTCAAAATTTAACACTGTACATAATTCAGTTCCAACTTACCTTTCTAGCTTTATTCTATATTACATCATCTATGTCTTTGTATCTCTAGTACTCAGTACAGTGCCTGCCATATAGTAGATGCTTTTTGATTGATTAATTGAAAGAAGTAAATATCAGAGGCCTCTCTCCCTTGGAAACTATGCAGTGTCCTGAAGTGAATGTTCTTCCCACTTTTTGCCTGGTAGACATAATCGGGCAAACAGTTATCCCAGGGGACAGAAAAGTGTGAATTATACATAGTACTTCATGCAGTGCCTTGTACCTAGCACATGTCCAATAAGGATTTGTTGAATGGATAAATGGATGAATGAATGAATAAATAAATAAACATATATCATTATCTCTGTCAATAACCACAAAAAATAATTCCAGGGATGGAAAAGTACAAGACTCAGTTTCCAATAGTTCTTACTGTTGAAATTGGGAGAAAAATTGCAAACAAGGCCAAACAGAGAGCTGCACCATGGTGGGGAAGAAAATTGAATCACCTCTGCCAATGCTATCCAATGTTTTTGCTCCTAGGAATTCAGGGAAAGGGAACAAATACTTCTTATAAATGAGGAGTGCTTCCTTCTTGTATTCTGAAGCCAATTCAAAATGACAACATCAGAGGAAAACAAATTCCTCTGTCCCTGAAGGTAAGGTGGCTAAAGTAAGAGCAGAACATGTTTGTTTTCTGCAGGATAAAAACTATTTCAATGTTTTTTATTAGGTTGAGAATTTAGTGACCCCTTTGGATTTCATTTTTCTATAACTTTCTGGGCAAGTTTTTTAGTAGCCACATTCTTTTTTTTTATTAATTACTTTCTTTTTACTTTTCAGCATTCACTTCCATAAGGTTTTGAGCTTTAAATTTTCTCCTCCTCCCTCCCAACCTCCTTCCCAAAGATAGTGTGCAATCTGATATAGGCTCTACATATATATTCCAATGGAACATATTTTCACATTAGTCATGTTTTAAAAAAGAATTAGAAAATAGGAGGAACCATAAGAAAGAAGAAACAAAACAAAACAGAAGAAAAAAAAAGAGCAAATAGTATGCTTCGATCTGTATTCAGACCCCATAGTTCTTCCTCTGGATGTGGATAGCATTTTCCATTATGAGACTTTTGGAGATGTCTTAGATCCTTGCATTGCTAAGAAGGGTTAAGTCTATCAACGTTAGTCATTGCACAACGTGGCTGTTACTGTGTACAATGTTCTCCTGGCTCTGTTCACTTTACTCAGCATCAGTCCATATAAATCTTTCCAGCTTTTTCTGAAGTCTGCTTCCTTATCATTTCTTACAGAACAATCATATTTCATCACAATCATATACCACAACTTATTCAGCCATTCCCCAATTGATGGGCATCCTCTCAATTTCCAATTCTTTGCCACAACAGAAAGAGCTGCTATAAATAGTTTTGTACATGTGGGTCTTTTTCTAATTTTTATGATCTCTTTGGGATACAGCCCTAGAAGTGGTATTGCTGGGTCAAAGAGTGTGCACATTTTTATAGCCCTTTGGGCATAGTTCCAAATTGCTCTCCAGAATGGTTGGATCAGTTCACTACTCCATCAACAATGCATTAATGTTCCAAGTTTCCCACATCTTCTCCAAATTTATCATTTTCCTGTTTTGTCATGTTAGCCAGTCTGATAGGTATGAAGTGGTAGCTCAGAATTGTTTTGATTTGCATTTCTCTAATCAATAGTGATTTAGAGCATTTTTTCATATGACTATAGATAGCTTTAATTTCTTCATCTGAAAAATACCTGTCCATATCCTTTGATGATTTATCAATTGGGGAATGATTTGTATTCTTGTGAATTTGACTTAGTTCTCTATATATTTTAGAAATGAGGCCTTTATCAGAGCCACTGGTTATACAGATTCTTTCCCAGTTTTCTGCTTGCCTTCTAATCTTGGTTGCATTGGCTTTGTTTGTGCAAAAACTTTTCAATTTATTGTAATCAAAATTATCCATTTTGCATTTCGTAATGTTCTCTATCTCTTGTTTGGTAGTAAATTCTTCTGTCCTCCATAAATCTGACTGGTAAACTATTCCTTGGAGTAGCCATATTCTGGAACTTTCTGTGTCATCTGTGATTGAAGAGTCTGCAGCTTCCTTCAAATGTACACATGACTCAGACCAAACTTTGCCTTGAATTGGCTTGATCGGTCCACAGGAGAGATAGATTAATTTGGCTTCCTCAAGAGAGCTACTTCATACCTTCTAGCCTCTCTCAGCAAATGCTCTCTGCTTCTCCCTGAGCAGGGAACTGAGTCAAGTCCAGGTGTGTCACCATAACTAACATGCTGCCTTTATATATATTGATTTTATATGAAACCAATGGGACAAATATGTTTTCCAATTAGGGGAAATAATGGGCATTAGTAAATTCTAGAAACATACCTGTTCCCAACCTCCTAGGTAGGCAAGTACATTTTGTCTTCTAATGTCCCAGGCTGCAGAGCAGTTCATCTGAGCTGGACGGAATCTCATCTGGTCTAACCCACTATTTGTAGACTTGTGAATATTGTAGCTATAACCTTAGCATCATATAGTTTACTTGCTTTATACTACAGATGAAGAAACTCAACTTAGGAACATGAAATTTGCCTACAGTCATGTAAATAATAAGTAAAAGAAGAGAGATGAAAACCCAGGTTTTCATTTTTTCCATTATACTACCTATAGTGCCTCCTTTA